CAGCAGGAAATTACTCAAAAGCCCTTGTGTCTCTTCCCTCTTTGGTGAGGCTCAACACCGCTGAACAAATATGTTTTTTGCATAAGACTAAAATTCCTCCTAGGAGCCTTGGAAACCAAGAGTACAACAAAATTGCCTTAAGACATGGGTAGGCACCCTAGCACGTGCGCCAGAGTCCAGTGCATGAAGGCATTTTGCTTTGCTTGGCATGTGTACCTTGGAGAAGGGTACACATGCCTTCCACAAGTATCAGGCCCCTTGTGGCTTCCCCTTCTTCCACCCCTGGCAGGTCAACATCTTACAGGTTGAGAATACGGGTGTTTTTGGCACTCTGCTCAAAAATCTTGCTGACCCCTGCCTTATGAAAAATAGTTCCCAACTAAATTTGCTTTAGGTTTTTATCATCCTTTGGGGTTCTTGGCACGTTGTTTCACCTGTGTCTGTCCCCCCACCTCCCACCCCCCTTACTTGCTTGCCTTTTACAATTCCCCAATATTTACAAACTCTTCTTTTGTTTTACCATCCACCTTTGTCAGTGTTCTAGATCAGTCATTCCCATCAGCCATTCCCAACCATGGAGGACATAAGGGAGGTGTGAGGAGATAAACAGATTAAGGGCAGGTTCAGGCTTTCTTTGCTTGGTAGCTCCCCTGCCCCCACTGCTTACCCCCTCTTCAAGGAGATAAGCACTATAATACATAGATTAGCTTTTAATTGAGATGCCACGCAATTCACAAAAGTTATGGAGGGGTACCTTGAGTCTAAAAGGGTTGAGGGACCAGTGTTCTAGATTAACCTGTTAATTGTGGCATAAATGGCAAGGGTGCTATATGTGCACCCAATTTAAAGTGCTATAAAATAGCAAAACCAGCAATACAATTGTTCCACTTATGTGTACAACATTTTCTTGGCTTATTTGAATGGTGCCTTAAATATGCAGGGTATCTATACACAGAGACTGTTTAGGAATTGGCCCTGGACAGCCGCAGCCTCCAACCAGCCTGTTGACAACATGGTTGACACTGGTGTGGGGTGGCCCGATTCTCCAACTGAATCTGGACTGCCCTGCAGGGATAAGTGGTGTTTAGGGCATGGGTAGGAAGGAGATCAGAGGCTCCCAGCAATGATTGTAGAACGGCTTCTCCACCAAGGACTTCAAACCCCACATCTGCAGTTTAAAGTCCTTGGCAGGACTTCAGCTTGTCCCTGCACAGAGCCTCTGATCCCTTGCATCCAGCAACCCCACCAGAGCTACCAGATTGAGGGTTTAAATTTCCCAGCAGGGAAAGCCCTCCAACCAACTGTGACTGACAATCAGCTACACTGACCAGGATTGATCAGTGGATTGTCAGACTTGGCCCCTGGACACTCCTGGGTCTGGAAGCTGCAGAGGATTGGCGGCAGCCCTAGTTCTAGGACAAAGCTGTCCCCTGCCCTGCAGGGATAGCTCCACAGTGGTACAACTGGGATCAAAGGAATTTTATGCTCCATCCCAAACATTACTCACCTACCATACACATCTGCCACAGCAAGAGGTGTGATGTTTGGAAGGGGGTGTAAAGTTCCTTTGATTCCAATCGTGCCACTGTTTTAACATCTGCCAGGGCACGTAGTTTCACCCAATTCTTCAATATGGGCCTGTGCAGAAGTGTCACCAGAGCATCACATCAACAAAGATTTATCCTGTTCACTAATTATTTTACCATATTAGAAACATTCTCTATATTAGTATCAACCAAATTTCCATTTTCATTTGCAAGCTCAGCTCTGGCAAGCCAGAGAGTGTTTTCACATACGCCACGTTTAAAACACTTGAGTAAGAATCATGCATAAAATTAAGCCATACAAGAAAACAACATTACTGATGGATTTTGAGAAAGTCTATTCACTGTAAGAACTCTTCAGCTATTGTATATAAGCACTTGCAATACATAACAATATTGTATATACAAGCACTTGCAATACAAAGCTATGACAAGATGGAAAAGCAAAGAGGCTAGTTGAAGTCATTCTTTAAAATGAAAAATGCCATAAAGTTAAATGGCAAATATGTGCTTTTAGAAATTGAAATCTGTGAAATACTTTACCAGTGCTCTACATATAATTGTACTTCAACTCCTAACTCCACTGTAAATTCCTCATAAAACTACTTTTATGAGTCATCTAGTATTGACAAGTTCTCCCCTTCCAGAACAGGCTTGTGTAAACAGTTATGCTGAATTAAAAGATTGTTCACTCCACCATTTTGTTATAGCAGGGGTTCCAGACCTGGCAGTGCAAGTGGCAGCACTGGGGGTTAAACACATTTGTCACTTGCCCCCCACCACCAATAAGCCTGCCCATTGGGGCTCCACTGCTAGGATTCAGCACCAGGTCCTACCCCCACCTTACCCTGCCCTTGAATTCCTGGCGCCTTTGAAAATCCTACAGGCTGGCTGAAACAGTTTCACAGGCTGGATCTAGCCTGTGGACTATGTTTTACAACCCTGCTTTATAGCATAGGAATATAAAGATACCAAGACGTAAGAAGGTTTTAAATCATTTTAAAAGCATGTTACCTAGCTATACATAAGCAAATTGCAGCGACTTACCTGAAGAGTCTGCAAAGCCAAAGTGTAGTGTCTGAAAGGATTCTTGTTATAAGTTTTCTCAGTCTTTCCCTGTCTAGCACTGAAATATAAGCTGCTAGACTATGTCCTAGCAAAGCCATGTGACCCTGTTCTCCAACATTCTGAAGTCTGAAAACCAGAAACATCATATCAGAATAACTGACAGTAAAATATAAAATCATTATAATATGCAAAATTTATTTTTGACCCTTTATTGGTATACCCAGATGTTGACATGCACGTTTTAAATCAACTACTTAGACCGAGGTTAAACAGGGGCCTGTCTACACTGGGACATTTTTTTTGCATTTAGTACATGTCAGTTAAGGTGTTAAAAAAAACCCAATCTCATCATACACAAAGGACTTGTAGTTTTGACTTGTATGAACTGATAAACCCTGGGCTCCTCCTCAGAGTTTTAGTCAACTAACACAAATCAGAACTATACATTGCCTTGTCTACATAAGTATTTTAAGTTTCTATTAAGTATATACCTTGCCTTCTTTGTGCAGGCAAGTTTTAGGGGAGACAGTAAAAACCTGAAAGTTGAAACTATATTCTTCATAGCTTTCATTTACGTAACACTCTTATCAAACCGTTTAGCAAATATTAATCTTTAACACACTGTGCAGGTGAGCTGCCAGGGTTATCATCATTTTACAACAGAAAATAAAAGGAAATAGAAAAGTAAAAAACATTGTCTAAGGCCACAACTTAGTCTTTGTCAAAAGAGATTAGAATTCAGTGGCTCCTGGTTCCCATCCCTGGGCTCAAACTACACCATTATTTTTTCCTAAATCTACAGATAAGGTCATAACTTGTAAATAAGTATATTTAATGAAGCTAACAATTTGGAAGATATAGTTAGTAGCATTCTATGAAAGCAGCTGAGAAAGTTAAAGGCATAAAAACCCACGTTTTTGAGTCTGGAATAATTTCTGTCTCTATAATTCACTGCAGTAAAGCATATGGCTGTTCTGAAGAACAACATTAATGCTTCATCATGAAAAGTTACAAAATGTTTACCTCAGTATCTTAAATTGAGAC